TAAATTTTATAAAAAAAATTTAATATTTATTTTTTTATTTATAAAATTTAAATTTAAAATTTTATTTAAAAAAAATTAAATTTCTTTTACTCAAACTAATAAAAAATAAATAAGATAGATTGACGTTATCTTTTTTGCCTGCAACACCCAAAGGAGACATCATCATGGGGGTGACACGTTAAATCAACAAAATTGTTAGCCCGGCCGTCCGATGACAGCTCACCTAAATCTCTTAAATAAATAAATAAATAAAACATGAAATTTAATATAACTAAATTTTAAATTAACCAAAACTCATTTGTGGTTCTAGATTCTAAATTTCAGTAAAAAAAATTTGAACAATTGTTGTTTGTCTTTAGCCTTGCTTCTTCCCTCAGCAATTTTTCTTTACGTATCATTATTTGTCGTCAACCATGTGATTGTGTGATGTGGATCGCACACCATACTCGACCTTCCAAAGCACTCTGTCTCTCTTACTATTTTTTATTTTTGTACTTCTATTTCTTTACTATATATACGTAAACGCGCTTTTCGCCTTTGTGCACTAAACTACTAAAGTCTCCTTCCACTTTTCTTTTTTTTTTTCCCTTTCTGAACAAATAAAGTAATATAATTGATACTGTTCTTGTATTACAGGTTACTATTATAAATATAATATATTTTTTATTTCTAATTCTTTTTTTACTGCCGTTTTGGAAATATTAATTAATAAATTATTTGTGTGCATCAGCTTTATTTATTTTATTTAGAGCACCTTCGTCGAAAAATTGAGCACCTTCGTCGAAACTTCTCAATTTCAAGCGTTGTCTGCTGTATATATACGGCAAAAGTGAACAGAGAGAACACTACTGACGGTTTCGGCGTTACGCAGGTATTTTATGTTTTTTTTTTAATTTTTGATTTTCTGTAAATATTTAAAAATAAAAACTCATCTTAAGTCTCTAAACTTATTTTAAAATAACATTTAAACTCTAAATTAAAAGTAAAATGGATAAATCTTTTAACTTTATTAATAATTTAAATAAATACTTTTCATAAGTGGGCTAAATAGTATTTCATATTTAATATCACATTAAAAACATAAATATTTATAAATGAGAAGGATCTGTTTGCATTATTAATAAAATTAAAAGATTTATTTATTTTATTTTTAAATTATGAGTTTAAATATTATTTTAAAATAATTTGAGGACTTAAAAAAACTTTTTGTTAATATTTTTAAAGTCAAATCACGAGAGTACTGTGTAACTGCACTTAGGGTGTAGTCGGTTCGATTTGTCTTTTCTTCTTGCTCTCGGATTTCAATGTTTTCCTCTTTCTGCTATTAAAGTTTTATTTTATCTACTGATTTTCCCGGAAAAATGCTACCTTCAACCTTCAAAATTGAAAAAAAAAAAAAAAAGTTTGCCGCAAAGTAGAACCTTGTAGAGTTTTTACTGGTTAAAAGTAGTATTCAATATAAAAACGATTTTTTTTTTTAGTTTCTCTTTTATGCTACAGTTTTGGGTTTTTCTCAGTGTCTACCCTACAGATCTGCAATTCAGTGTTTGTACAATATTTTCAGTATTAACAACCGTACTCTGAAAATCTCTTTTGTTTGAAATGAAGAGCAAAATCGTTGAGAATTTTTTGGATGTTTGATGTTGGTGGTTTTCTGAAAATAGATACTGAGGGTACCATCTCTCCTGCGACACATTTATGAGTAGTTTATTCAAGGGTTCGCCATACAAACGGCGGCATGACTTGGAGGCGGGCACCAGTCGCTCGCCGTATTCCGATGACCAGGACGATGGGATGTCATCGAGCCCGTTCTACATCACCAGGACTAAGAATGCTTCCATTGAACGCCTCCGCCGCTGGAGAGTAATATTGCCCTAATCTCATCTTTTATGCTCTGCTGAAATAGTCTGATTATGCCTTTGATTTTTTATGCTCGAAGTTCTTCATTCCTTAACATACTGTTTGGATAGAAAATAGTAAAGGGAAGGGAAGGGAGGGGAATAGAGGAAAATAAAAGGAAATGGAGGGGAAGGAAAAGAAAGGGAAGGGAAGAAAATGGAAGGAAATGATTTGTGTTAATTTTGTTTGGATAAATAAAATTGAGGAAGGGGAAGGGAAGGGAAGGGAAGGGAAGGGAAGGATGGTATTATTTTATGTTTAGATAATTAAGGTAAAAAGGAAGGGAAGTAAGGAAAAGATTTAAATTAATTTTAAATTTATAAATTTATACTTTAAACTTGTAATGAAAAATGATATAATAAAAAAATTAAGGTTAATTTTGTAATTACATTTAATCTAATTTAAACGGTCACTCAAATCCCTCTCAAATCCCCAAATCGGGTTGATTGTAAATCCGCAGATTTGAGGGTGGTTGGAGGGAGTCCAAATCAGTTCATCTCCCTCTCCCTCTGCTTCTTTGGAAACCCAAACAGGAGGAAGGGGGGCTCCCCCTCCCTTGCCATCCGTCCCCATCCCTTCCCCTCCCTCTCCGTCCGACACCTCCAATCCAAACAATACCTAAAAGACGACGATGTGATTTATTTGTTGTTTGGCATTTACATTCGCGAATGTGTTTTGATGTTTGTAGGTTTTTCTCTTTATTTCATTTGTACCATCTATCTGCAATTTTATTGCAGGTGGTTTTTTTTGGTAGATTAGTTGTGCTTCTCCTTAGTAAGTGATTGTAGGAGTCATTGAATGATTTGGCTTACTGAATTTTTGTCTTCTATAGCAAGCAGCGTTGGTGCTTAATGCGTCTCGTCGGTTCAGATACACATTGGATTTGAAAAAGGAAGAAGAGAAGAGAGAGCT